TCTTTTGTAATTGAATAGTTCTTTATATTCTCTTGTAGTTATTAAAACGTCTATATAATAAAATACTCTTTAAATTATATTCTTGAAATATAAATAACCTCAAATTTATATCAGTAACCTACTTTTTTTTTTTTTTTTAACTATCCCTGATGCAGACATCTAGGGGTGCGTGTGGCACTCTTTTATTTTACTACAATTTGTAAGGTTCTTACATGTGACTTAAGTCTCAATTCCCCAACTCATATGACTTACAGATGCAGTATCACTTTTTATCAATATCCGATTTCAGTTATATTCTTTATGTGGGGATTCCGATTTTTGTGCCTTTTCTGGTAGATTTCTCCTTGTCTGGTGGTGTGATATCCATGGTTAAGCCACACTTCCTGTTCGTATCTTTTGTTCTTAAAATGGAAAGGTCCTCAAAAGATCTTAAATCTTCAATCGTGATTCTAATTCAGTCAATCCCCTGATAGGATTTGAACTGACAACCTTGTAATTGTGACTCAGGAGCGTAACTACTATGCTGTAGACCTACAGGTCTAGTAACCTACTTTAACAATACATTGACAAGTTTACTTAATGTGTTAAAACACTTTCTTAAACCATAAAGAACTCACCTTTTTCTTTTATTTATTCTTTTGTTCAGTATTTAGTTAGTCGTATCTGTGTGATCCTATCTAAATACTTTGGAATATTTCTGCAATTCTGTGTGAATTGTGAGTGTTATTTAGTTTATTTCTTTAAAATTGTCTGCTTAGTGCTCAATACAAGCAAAACTCAACTCCAGAATTTAGCAAAGATAATCCTTATATCTCTAACTTTGCAGAAAATACTGAAAAGTCTAATGACTCAGCAACACCAGAAAGCACCTCTACTCATTTAGCTAACTTGAACTAACCTTCCTCAAAGTTACTTGAAGAAAACTTAGTCTAAAATAATCAAGAAAATAACTTAGAAACCTAAGAGCAAATGATTATTGAATCCTCCTCCTCTGCTTCTCCAAAAGCAGTAAATAAGAACTCAAATACTGAGCAAGACTCAGACTCTATAGAAATCAATGCAGATAGTAACTCAAAAGAGGAACCTTTCACTATCGTCATCTCAAAGAAATCTAGAAAAATAACAAAAAAGAGAGATCAAAGTCATTCTAAATCAACTGGATCACTAAGAAAAAGAGACCTCTCTTCTGACAATGAAATGAAGAGCAAACACTATCAGGAGTATTAAAATACTCAGAAGTATCAAATCTCTTTCAACACTCTCTAATATGAGCAAAATCAAAATAGCAACTCTAAATGTCAAAGGCTTAAACAATAAGTCTAAAGCACAAAAAACACTTACTCTTTTAAAGTCATATAAACTAGATATTATTTTCCTGCAAGAAACAAATCTAACAGATACTATAACTAGAAATTTTTTATTACAACAATAGAACTATGACTCAATTTGGTCTTCCAAAATAGCTATTCTAGCTGGAAACAAAAAAATCCAATTCTCTAACTCTCAAGAGTTTTTAGATGGATGTATACTTCAAACAAGAACCTCATTTCAACACCACAACTATTTTATTACCAATATCTATGCTCCTCCAAGACAAGATGAAAGAAGAAATTTTCTTAACAACTAGGCTCCAGCAAGAGATGAGAATGCAGTGAACATTATTTTTAGTGATTTCAATGTTAATATTAACCTAGACAAAAATCAAATTAGTCAGGCTTCTTTGCAAAAAGATCCTTCCTATGATCTGTTAAAATCTTTTATAGCAGATTTTATCAATACCGCAGAGTTTGCCAAACCTGGGCCTTTTCTAACATTTTACTAGACCACTCAAGGTAATCAGAAAATGGCTACATAGCTAGATTATATATTTATTAACTTGAATTATAGCCAATTCTGCAAGAATACTTGCACTTGTTTTGGAAACTCTGATCACCTTCTTGTTGAAAGCGAACTAGCTTTCAACTCAGAACCTATACATAGCTACTTCTGAAAATTTAATAGGAAATATTGATCAATCCCAAATCTCAAATCAGAAATTCTCAAAGAAATCGAAAATATAGATTAATAAAAATTAGGAGGTGACAATATTGGAGTGAGGCTGTTGGATCTGAAGAGCTGGCATTATTTGGATCAGCTATTCTGATGCTGCATGAGGAAGAATGTCTAGCTTTGTAAAGAGAAAAAAAGTATTTAGTAGATTTTTATTCATTTAGCATTAGATCTGATTTGCCATTTCTCTGACAAAAGTATGAGTTCATCTTGTAGTTGTAATTTAAGGTTCTCTGCTGAAGGTTGAAGGTCTGCTAGAGCTGGGTTTCTAGCTATCCTATTATTTATTGCAGTCAATCTCTTGTAGATAGCTTGTATAGCTTTTTCCAGTGCTGGTTTTTGCTTAAAGACTCTGCATATAGACTGGAAGATAGTTTTGTGGGAGTCCTAGTTGTTAATGTCTTGTATATTTTCGATTTCTTTGAGAATTTCTGATTTGAGATTTGGGATTGATCAATATTTCCTATTAAATTTTCAGAAGTAGCTATGTATAGGTTCTGAGTTGAAAGCTAGTTCGCTTTCAACAAGAAGGTGATCAGAGTTTCCAAAACAAGTGCAAGTATTCTTGCAGAATTGGCTATAATTCAAGTTAATAAATATATAATCTAGCTATGTAGCCATTTTCTGATTACCTTGAGTGGTCTAGTAAAATGTTAGAAAAGGCCCAGGTTTGGCAAACTCTGCGGTATTGATAAAATCTGCTATAAAAGATTTTAACAGATCATAGGAAGGATCTTTTTGCAAAGAAGCCTGACTAATTTGATTTTTGTCTAGGTTAATATTAACATTGAAATCACTAAAAATAATGTTCACTGCATTCTCATCTCTTGCTGGAGCCTAGTTGTTAAGAAAATTTCTTCTTTCATCTTGTCTTGGAGGAGCATAGATATTGGTAATAAAATAGTTGTGGTGTTGAAATGAGGTTCTTGTTTGAAGTATACATCCATCTAAAAACTCTTGAGAGTTAGAGAATTGGATTTTTTTGTTTCCAGCTAGAATAGCTATTTTGGAAGACCAAATTGAGTCATAGTTCTATTGTTGTAATAAAAAATTTCTAGTTATAGTATCTGTTAGATTTGTTTCTTGCAGGAAAATAATATCTAGTTTATATGACTTTAAAAGAGTAAGTGTTTTTTGTGCTTTAGACTTATTGTTTAAGCCTTTGACATTTAGAGTTGCTATTTTGATTTTGCTCATATTAGAGAGTGTTGAAAGAGATTTGATACTTCTGAGTATTTTAATACTCCTGATAGTGTTTGCTCTTCATTTCATTGTCAGAAGAGAGGTCTCTTTTTCTTAGTGATCCAGTTGATTTAGAATGACTTTGATCTCTCTTTTTTGTTATTTTTCTAGATTTCTTTGAGATGACGATAGTGAAAGGTTCCTCTTTTGAGTTACTATCTGCATTGATTTCTATAGAGTCTGAGTCTTGCTCAGTATTTGAGTTCTTATTTACTGCTTTTGGAGAAGCAGAGGAGGAGGATTCAATAATCATTTGCTCTTAGGTTTCTAAGTTATTTTCTTGATTATTTTAGACTAAGTTTTCTTCAAGTAACTTTGAGGAAGGTTAGTTCAAGTTAGCTAAATGAGTAGAGGTGCTTTCTGGTGTTGCTGAGTCATTAGACTTTTCAGTATTTTCTGCAAAGTTAGAGATATAAGGATTATCTTTGCTAAATTCTGGAGTTGAGTTTTGCTTGTATTGAGCACTAAGCAGACAATTTTAAAGAAATAAACTAAATAACACTCACAATTCACACAGAATTGCAGAAATATTCCAAAGTATTTAGATAGGATCACACAGATACGACTAACTAAATACTGAACAAAAGAATAAATAAAAGAAAAAGGTGAGTTCTTTATGGTTTAAGAAAGTGTTTTAACACATTAAGTAAACTTGTCAATGTATTGTTAAAGTAGGTTACTAGACCTGTAGGTCTACAGCATAGTAGTTACGCTCCTGAGTCACAATTACAAGGTTGTCAGTTCAAATCCTATCAGGGGATTGACTGAATTAGAATCACGATTGAAGATTTAAGATCTTTTGAGGACCTTTCCATTTTAAGAACAAAAGATACGAACAGGAAGTGTGGCTTAACCATGGATATCACACCACCAGACAAGGAGAAATCTACCAGAAAAGGCACAAAAATCGGAATCCCCACATAAAGAATATAACTGAAATCGGATATTGATAAAAAGTGATACTGCATCTGTAAGTCATATGAGTTGGGGAATTGAGACTTAAGTCACATGTAAGAACCTTACAAATTGTAGTAAAATAAAAGAGTGCCACACGCACCCCTAGATGTCTGCATCAGGGATAGTTAAAAAAAAAAAAAAAAGTAGGTTACTGATATAAATTTGAGGTTATTTATATTTCAAGAATATAATTTAAAGAGTATTTTATTATATAGACGTTTTAATAACTACAAGAGAATATAAAGAACTATTCAATTACAAAAGA